TTGGGAACTGCCCCCATACAGTAACAGTCTGTTAATAGGGCTACTATTAGATAAGGGCCTAATATATCCATAATATGGGGGGGGGTTCCGAAAATAGGTGTACACTTTGGTATTATATAGGAGTAAAAGTATAGTAGCAGTACCTTATAGTACATTCTAGTATATGGGACTTTCCGAAAATAGGGGACCCTAATAAAGCATTTTAAATGATAGGATCCTTATTATAAGGACCCCTAAATAAGGTATTATATCGGAGTTTTCGAAAATAGGGGACCCTATTATAGTACCCTAAATTATAGGATCCTTGTTTATAAGGGCCCCAAATTAAGGTACCCCAATTTTCGGAAGCCCCCATATGGGAAGTTCACCAGATTACGGTCTCGTTTAGGGTGCTTCTTACGAGTACGTTTCGGCATAATGAAGTACCGTATAGTATGAAATACAGTAGTATGTCATACTACAGTATGGTACACTTAGTGTTTCATACTGGAGTATACTATGGTCCTTCCGGCGCGCCGTCAGGGGTAAGGCGCGCCAAGGGACTCGGGAGCTAGGATCAGAACAAGCAACGCTCCGTAGATGTTCACAGGGATAGCCTTTCAACTTCCAAGACGGCGAAAACCCTAAACCCTAAACTCTTAGACCCTAAACCCCAAAACACTAAACCCTAAACCCCTAGACCCTAAACCCCAAAACACTAAACCCTAAACCCCTAGACTCTAAACCCCGAAACCCTAAACCCTAAACCCTTTATAAACCCTAAACCCTAATCCCCTTACAACCCCTAAAGGCCCTAAACCTTTCAAGCCGCCTCAGAAGCTTAGGGTTTAGGGTTTAGGGTTTAGGGTTTAGGGTTTAGGGATCGGAGATTAGCTTTCAGCGTATCTTGCTAGATGCCGCAAGGGAAGTTCTTTGAAACTCCCCAGTCGAATAGTTTTTGAGGGTTTAGGGGTGTAGGGTTTAGGGGTTTAGGGGTTTAGGGTTTAGGGTTTAGGGTTTAGGATTAGGGTCTGCCTAAACAGTCAGTGACAGCGTTGTCTGATAGTATAGTCCCAACATACTTATAGTCTATAATGCCCCAAAACCACACTCTAACTAAAGAGCCCCTGGACCCCTAAACCCTAACTAAGCCCGAAACCCTAAGCCCTAAACCCAAAGCCCTAAACCCCAAGCCCTAAGCCCTAAACCCTAAAACCCTAAATCCTAAACTCCCTAACTAAACCCTAAGCACTAAAACCCTTAAACCCTAAACCCTAAACCCGAAGCCCTAGTATGCCCTATTGTCTCGACCTTGACGGCTCCAGGCACCACATGCAGAGCCTCCTCGAGCGCAGCAGGGACATGGCCAAGGAGGTGCAGGCGCGGAGCGCTTCCTTTCTTCGAGCCCCAGGCATACTAGGGCTTATAGGGCTTACAGGGTTTATAGGGTTTTAGGGTTCATAGGGTTTATAGGGTTTTAGGGTTTAGGGTTTAGGGCTTAGGGTTTAGGGCTTTAGGGTTTTAGGGGTTTAGGGTTTAGGGTTTAGGTTAATGTAGAGGCTTGAATTCTTACCAAGACTATTTTGAGGGTTCCTCATCATAATCATAGTATAATATACCCCAAAACCTTGTTCTAATTATTATAAGGCCCCTACATTACCTAGACGTGGGTCCCCGAGTAGCATCCGTTACACCTTGTAACAGAGCTGAGTAGGTAATATAGGGGCCTTAACAGTTAGAATAGGGCCCATTATACCAGAATTATAATAAAGGAACCCTAAAATCTTTTTGGTAATTCATTCGGCCCCTACATTAACCTTAGCCATTCGGGTTCTTGTAAGATCCTACCATAATCAGCCTTCTTTGGGCTAGGATACTCAGCCTGTAAGTCGTTGTTACGGGCTTATGGAGCACCGGGGTTTAGGGTTTAAGGGTGTAGGGTTTACTGGGAACAAGACGCCAGTGCCCAGCCACGACAACGAGTCTTTGCAGATGTCAAGAGGCCCGGACTTCTTTTGGGGCGTGCTCCCTTCTTCCTTCCAGCCCCTTGCGTCGTTGAACTCGCATCCCCGAACAGCCGACACCTTAGGGTTTAGGGTTTAGGGTGTAGGGTTTGGGGATTGGGGTTAGAAGTCTAACCTCATCTTTCCCAGCTGTCTCCTTCCCCCACCAGCTCACAAAACACTCGTCGAGCTTCTCTGGGCCTATAGATATGAAGCTGGTTCAAACCTTAAGCCCTAAACCCTAGTAGAGTCTAGAAACCCTAAACCCCAAACCCTAAGCCCTAAACCCTAAACCCCTAGACCCTTAAACCCTAAGCCCTTAAACCCTAAGCCGTAAACCCTAAGCCCTAAACCCAAAACCTCTAAACCCTAAACCCTAAGCCCTAAATCGGAACCCTAAACCCTAAGCCCTAAACCCTAAGCCCTGAAAACCGAAACCCTTTTAAAGAAACCCTAAACCCCCAAGGCCCTAAGCCCTAAACCCTAAACCCTGAGCCCTAAGCCGAAAGTCCCTTTTAGAGAAACCCTAAACCCTAAACCCTAAATCCTAAACCCTGAGCCCTAAGTTTAGAGAAACCCGGAGGGTTTAGGGTTTAGGGTTTAGGGTTTAGGGCTTTAGGGTCCCTTTTAGAGAAACCCGGAGGCTCCCGTGAGAACACAGAAGCCGGCTCCACATCCGCTGGCGCCCGGAAGCCCTGGCAGCCAGGATTTGGGCATCCCCAAAAAGGGTTGAGGGCTTAGGGTTTAGGGTTTAGGGTTTAGGGTTTAGGGTGTGTTATGGTTTTAGGGTTTTGGGGTTTTAGGGTTTAGGGTTTAGCATTTAGGATTTAGGTTTTAGGTTTTAGGGTTTAGGGTTTAGGGTTTAGGGGTTTAGTGCTTTAGCAATTCGGGGTTTTAGGGGTTTAAGGTTTAGGA